CCCCCCCGGGATGCCACACACACACATAAATCACCCTCCGCATGCAGACCCCCCTTTGTCGGCCATGGGATTTTGCTCTGTGCCACCAAAGGCTGCCGGCGGCAAGACGGGTGCGTGGGTGTGACGCAGGGGGGGGGCTCCTTACTGCCTGCCTGTTCACACATTCACAGCTCTATCAAAGCGTCGCCCCTCCCCGAAGCCCTCAGCACCTCATTACTCTGCAGATCCCAACCCTCAGATTGCTCATCAGCCACACCCCCTAGCCCCCCCCCCCCCCAGCAGTACGGACTCTAATGTCACTAGGAGCTCCTGCCTAGATTTATCGCTCACTCTCACCAGTGCACCAGGAAAGTCACTGCAGGGCCAACAGAAGAAGCCCCCCCACCCCAATCTGAAAGCACAAGGTCAGCAGTGCAGTGCATGGTGGGACGAACCTGAGGAACCTAGAAAAAGGCAGGGTGGGGGTTGGGAGGGGGGGAGTACACCTGGATTTAGGATGCCCCGCTCTAGCAGGGTAGAGACAGAAGAGGAAGAGAAGAACATCTTAAAGCAGACAGACCATCAGAAAGCATCAGTGCTGCAAGCCAACAGGAGGCAGAGAGCCCCTCAAACGCCAGCCAGCAAACCCCAGGTTGGGGGGGGGCTCATATCGACATAATGGGTTTGAGCGGATGCTGAGGGAGGACGTCTCGCTCCGCCCAAACAACCCCCCCACCGCCGCCGCCGCCCTTTCTCTCTAAATCACAGCGGCACTGAACAGGCTGAGCTTGTAAGGACGTGTTTTCTTTTCATGGAAATGGTGGAAAAAAAGGGAGGCGAGTAAATAAATAAAATCCAATTGCTGAAACACATACTGTAACAGCATCGCTGGAAAGAATCACACAGAATGTGGCCTTTCCCATCCTCTCGGCACGCAAGAAAAACAGCTCGGCGAGATGGACAACATTTTTAGCCTTTTAATATACCCGAAAAAGCACACTGAACCCCCATTCACGCTGCGGGAGGGGGGGGGGCTTGGCAGGAGACAATGTTCCCCACACACAATATCCTGAATGTCTCCCATGTGGCTAACCTTTTTCTGGGATATAGGGCTCTCTCAGCCGGACACGGAAATGTCCCCCAAAGCGGCCAAGCACCAAAGAACCACCCCCCTCCCGAGAAAGACCAACACGGGCAGAAGAGGGTGTCGGGATAACCCCCCGCCCCCCCTCCGGGCCCCCGTCTCATATGACCACGCCCACGGGACCCTCTGATTCAATCAAACCATTCAACTCATTCCATCCCTTAGCAGCCGACACAATCTGCCCCCCCCCCATGTCCCCAACGATTCGGAGCGACTCGGAGCAACTCGGTCCTGGGGTGGGACTTTAAAAACTAAAGCTGCCACAGCCCGCTGGCCAAGTCTGTGTGACACCCAAGACTACACAAGGCCGGCGGGGGGGGGGGTGGAAGAGGGCCTTCTTAAAGACGGTCACGGTCGCTTGGCCCATGCTGGAGACACAGACCTTCTGAGGGGCGGCCAGGTTGGTCGGCACTATCGGCCCAGCATCTCGGAGCGATCAAGCGTGGCAGCTGTGTGTCTGACTGCAGATAACGAATGTGTCACTGGCATGTGACCCGACAGATCAGCCGGTGATACGGAGGGCGGCGGCAGTGTCCCGAGGGGAGGGGGGGGGG